TCTCCTGATCTTTACTGGTTGATGATTTTCTTTATTCGGACCCTGATGATGTTTAATCGGTGACCTCTGCTGTAGGTCATCAAATCAATTCAGCTGTCCAATCAGCTGCCTGTAGTGTCATTAGTTGTCCAGCAGGTGTCAGTATTATGTCAGTATCAACGCAGCATCAATAGTTTGGCTTCAAGGTGCCTCATTAACCATCACTGTGGACATCTGTTGTAGTTTTTTTTAACTAGAGCACATTAAAGATGCTGAATGTGAAAAGATTAGCTGGAATCGCCCTTTAGCCACCCTTTAGAACCGGAACCACCGCTATGTTGCTGTTTTTTTTCCAACTTTATTCTAATAACAAATAGTGTACAAAGACCCGTTGAGGTACAAACGTTACCACATGGGTAGAAAAAACATAGAAACTGCAGCTAAAAACAAGAACAGATACATAAAAAATAAGGCCAGTGAATAAATATAGAGCAAGATTTAAAAGAAAAGAAAAGTAGAAATACTGGCAGTTACTTTTTTTTGACAGAAACTGAGTTCAAATGTTTCAATGAGGTGTTATAACATTTAAATTGGTTAAGAAAAGATAAAAAACAAAGAGTAGAACCTCTTTATTTATAGCAATGTTTATGATATTTAACAAGCAAGAAAACAATATTGAAAATATCTGAAATTTTACTATCAAGGTCATCAACATAAAACAACATGTGGGTGATTGTTATTTCTGGGATATCCTCAGTTTTAAGGGACAACCAATATATAATGTCTCTCCATAGTTTATATGAAAAGGAAAGAAAAAAAAATATCAGTCATAAAATATTCCCCAATTTTCACTTTGGGTAAATATGCAGTAACATTTGAATAACTTAAGGTGTTTTGGATGAGATGGATCAGAGCTACAGGAATATCTTTGCATACTTTTAGGTATTCATTACAACTACAGCACAGATTACATTTGTTGGTAAAATCTCTATGATTTAGGAAAACACCATTTAGTATGGAAGTCCGCTTCTGCCACATGAAATAAAAAAAAAATACCAAATAGAAAGTCATTTTCTCTGTATTAATACTGATACAGACACACAACTCTCCACACACATGGCCCCATACTCGCAGACTCCGCTGTGGTTCCTGATATTTACTCTCAGCTGCAGCCCTCATGGATCCATAGAGTGGAATAACAGATCAGTAGTAATAAAGAGAAAATGACTTTCTATTTGGTATTTTTTTTACTTTCATGTGGCAGAAGCGGACTTCCATACTAAATGGTGTATTCCTAAATCATAGAGATTTTACCAACAAATGTAATCTGTGCTGTAGTTGTAATGAATACCTAAAAGTATGCAAAGATATTCCTGTAGCTCTGCGAGCCTCATCGGTTCCTGTCGGTCTCCACCTGGTGGAGCCGGAGGGGGGCGCTCCTGGGTCACAGCACAGCTTTTCTACCGCAGGTCCTCCAAAGAAGAAGAAGAACTTTAACGCGACGTAAAAGTGAAAGAAGAAGAACAGCGTCGTGTGTTAGCTATAATGACAAGTTGCTAACAGTTACTGATAGCCGACAAAGCATAAATGTGAAGAGAGAAAAAAGCTGCGGGAAAAGTCCGACAGCGCTGCGGAAGGTCATGCAGCGACCCGGGAGGGAATGAGCCGTAAAGCCCCGGGGGTTCGGCTCAGCGGCGCCCACAAACTGCGGCCACACTGGAACCACTGGCAGCCCAGGTTGGTTGGTTCGCCTCTCCGGGGCCTGGCTGTCTTTCTGTCCCGGCTAGCGGCAGTGTGGGAACCACACTCCTCCACCTTCTCCGCTCCACCTGTTTATCCTCCCCGTATTTACCGCGTTTTATTTCAGGCTCCTCGGAGCGGCAGCGGGTTAGCTCCAGCCTCCGCCACGGTGAGCCCAGCTCGGGGCTACCGCCGCCCGCAGCGGGTTGGGACCGACGGCTGTTAGCGCCTAATTGACCATAGACCGCTGTGATACCTAACGACAGGGCAAATCCACAGCATGTTTCAATAAAAACACTTATTTCACGCGGGAATTGGCGTTAACGTGAAGCGTTAGCATGCTACCCTGCTGCTAGCTGCGGCTAGCGATGCTAGTCAGCTGAGGGAAGCCGCCAGCCTGCTGTGATGTTACCTGCTTTCACATCACTTCCGGAAAGCCGTGGCTGCGCTGCCTTGTTGGGGCAATAATTCATCAGTTAGCTGCTTGGTGGGGGGTGATGGGTGAGGGTGATGGGTGAGGGTTAGCCCTCGCACCTGTGGTGAAGCAGCCGGGTCAAGGCCGAGGTTCCTGGAAGCCCAGCAACCTTCGCTGCTGCCTGTTATTTCAGGAATATCTGCTCTGTTAGAGCTAAACCACCACGATCCTCATTGGATAACAGTGGAGAGCAGGAGCCACGCACAGGTGTTCAACTAGCAACCCAACAGAAATCACACCTGTTCAACGTCTCCTTAGACTTGGACAGCTTTTATTGTCATTTTCTTAAAAACTTGTTAACGAAATAGCATTTCGTTTACTGCATCTTTCCAGACATTAAATGAACATTTCCATTACATAAAGTGAGGCAGTGCTTAAACGTATCTATGCTTCTTTTTCTATGTCTGCTTCTGTCTCCTTGAACCCCAGTGGGCCTCAGCAGATGGCCGCTCACACTGAGCCTGGTTCTG